CAAAAAAAAAAAAAAAATTTTTTTTTTTTTATATCAAAGAACACTTTAAAGAGAGTGAAAAGACTAGCAACAGAATAAGAAAAATATCTGAAAGTCATATATTTAATGAGACTGTCAAAATATATATAGAAGTTTTGCAACTCAACAAACAAAAATGATTAAATGCTTTTATGTTATTTCTCTAAGATATATAAATGGCCAATAAGCATGTGACAAGATGATCAACATCTTTAGCCATTAGGGAAATGTAGGTCAAAACCACAATGAGAGCCAGGTGTGGTAGTGCACAGCTATAATTTCAGCACTCAGAGCGGAGGGAAGAGGATCTCTGTATTTGAGGCCAGCTTGGGCTACATGGTGAGTTCAAGACTGGCCTGGAATACATAGCAAGACCCTGTCTAAAAAAAGTTAAAAATAAAAATAAATCCACAGTGAGACTCAAGTTCACACTTAGGACAGCTATCACACGTATATGTGCACACACAAAATAACATGCTCTGGTAAGAAATTTGATTGCTTGTTGCAGTGTAAAACTTTTGGAGGCAATTTGGCAGTTCTTCATGAAATTGAATTATTTAATCTGGTGATTTGATTCTTAGGTATATAACCAAAAGGGTTGGAAAGAAAAATTCAAATATTTATACACCAGTCTTTACAGAAGCATTCTTCACAAGATCCAAAAGTTTTCCTAGTGTCCACTGAAAGATGAATAAGCAAAATGCATGGTGTATACAGACAGGGAATATTATTTAGTCATAAATGGAATGAAATTCAGATGCATTCTACAAAAATGGGCCCTAAAAACATTGAGCTAAGTGAAACAAGCCAGACATAAAAGAGAAATACTGTATGACTGCGTGTATATGAAGTGTCTAGAATAGACAAATTTATGGAGACAGAAAGCAGAATACAGGATACAAAGGCCTAGAAAGAAGAAATGATTGAGCGTTGCTGTTTAATAGGTACATCATTTTGATTTAGGATGACGAAGTAGCTTTACAACATGGTGAAGGTACTTAATACAATGAATGGGTCTGACTCATAAGCACTGACTCCCTTCAGTTACTAAAAGCAACAAAAAGTGAAATGTGGTGTCCACTGTGGGACATGGCAGGAGCAGCAGGGTGGCCATGCCTTTGTGGCCTCATCTTTTGAGGTGTGTCTGATTATCCACATCTGGTTGCTTACATTTCTCAGCCAGCCTGGATGTTAGGGCCTTATCTGTATGCATCCTCTCTGATCAGCCTTACTGAATTTTTAGGCTTACAAGTTATAAATGAAGACTTTGTAGAACTAGACCCAGCTGCTGTGATGTTAATGTGATGTGTTCCAGGAAACCAGGAGGGTGAAGCCAGCACTCTGCAGCCTGGAGTACTGTTCAAACAAGGGGTTGTGGGCCTGAGGAGGCTGGGCTGCTGCGTCCCCGGCTAGGTCTGGAATTTGGCAGGGGCCGTGGAGAGTCCAAAGGCCTTGCCTGACTTATCCAGTGTCCGGTCCTGAGCCACACACTCTTTCCCACCTTCCCTCAGGCTGGAGATGGAGTGGCTGATAGGAAGGCCCTGCTCATGGGATTAAGAAATCCCTAAAGCCAGTGAGGACACCCTGCCATAGTGAGGACCAGGGCCATAGGGATATACAAGCTGCAGCTGCCACACAGTGACAGGAATGTGTTTTCTCCCTAGAAACAGAGTGAATTTGATCCAACTGCTATGAAGGACCGACCAGTCTGGGATGCTGCCTGCCATGTGGAAGAGCCAAATCCACCTCTCTACTGCCACATGTTGTTTCCGTGGCCAGTGCTGGGCACCCAGAAGAGCCTCCAGAAGTCTCACTGAGAGCCTGGAGCCCAATGCTGCCATCTTCATCCTGGGCCTGCCACCACCAAGCAAGTGGCAAGCAGGGGTCATCATCAGTCCTTCCCCCACAGTGTAGGACTTTTCCTTTGCCTACTAAGGATAAAAATAGTCCAGATTTCATATTTGTAGACACAGGATCAAGTTTTTAACATACATATCTGCCTATATACATTTAATAAAACAGGTTACAAACACTTTCACTATATAAAAACTTTGGTTAGCAAAGGAGTATACTGTTCACATCATCTCTGAAAATGCTGCGTGTCTGTTCTCTGGAGAGTGCTGGGCCATGAGTTCCCTCACCTTCCACAGGCAGGCAGGTGTTAAAGGCACACTTAGGACTGTGTCCAGGCCCCTGGACCTCCACCTCATCTTCCTGCAAGCAGCAGTATTTTGAAGAGAACTCTGCCTCCTTAAGCAGTAACCAGCCACGTTTCATGCCCAGCTTGCCTTGCCTCGTGGGCTGATCAGTTCAGAAAATGGCCCAGCTGAGATTAGTGTTGGACGCTCACCACTCTTCAGTTGTTACTGTAATTCTGGGGGTTACTGTAATTTCATGGGAGTCTGAATCATGGACCATAACTTTTTGGTTTTTAGATTAAGGAAACATTTGTTGTTAAGCCTAATATACTGACCTGTGTACCCACTTTACTTTCCCCCTTTAATCCAGAGACTTAGAGTGAGAGGAAATGGAAAAGGCAGAGAGGTGGGGCAGAAGTGGAAGGTATACCCACATCCTCTAGCCCTGGACACAGCTCGGAGACCTTTCTCCCCATGCACAGCAAAGCCTCCTGCTGGTTGGGAGGGGAGAACACTGGCTCAGCAGTGAGTGAGGGCTGAAGGGATTCAGGGACTGTTTACAATTATCAGAGCTGGTAATTTTGAGCACAAAGACCTGCAAGTAGGTAGTTCCTGGCAGAATATCCAGGTTGACCCAGCTGCACACCAGGGCCTGGCCAGTTGCTGGGTGTATGCCTCAGCGTTGCTCGACATCACTGGTCCTTGTGAGGATGTTTTAAAATTCTGTACTTATATTGTTAAACTGGGAATCAAGAACTCTTTTATGTCATGTCTTTCTTTGAATTGAGAAAAACTATAGGAAAAGGTGCCTTTGAAATGACAGAAAATGTGCTTGTAGTTGTACTAAATGTAATGCCCCTATTTCCCCAGCACTGGCCACTCTGAGAGCAGTTGGGGTGGGGTGGGGCTCGCTAAGGACCTCCTTACCTTTGCATCACCGCTTAGAAACATCTTGCTTCCCAAAGCACCAGGCACAGGTACTAGGACCTCATGGGCTCACTCCCAGACCTGGGAGAGAGTGGAGCACCAGAAGGCCCAGAGTAGGACAAGGGCTTTGGGCAAGAAAGCTGGTATGTTCTAGGCCTTCCTCCTTCCCCTACCAGAGAACTGGAATAGCCAAGGCACCCTGCTGACTTGGCTTCAAGGACAAGCATGGTGGCTGCACCTTTTGTTTTCCAGGAGAGGGCTTTCTCTGAAGAGCAAAGCCTTTGAACCATTGTTCTTCTAAAGTCTCTTTTCTTGCCCTCCATGTCCCAATAGGGGCCACTTCTTATTTGTCTCAAATTGGAGACTTGTGAGTACTTGGCAAGTTTTGCAGCTTATTTTTGTATTCTTTGCATTTGGGAATTGAGTCTATTTGGTTCTAAAAGCCTTTGAGGAGTTGCTAAGAATGAAGAGTGAGTGCCTTCCTTCAGAGAACAGATACCTGGAATTTTTCCTTTAGTGTTTATGTATGTGCAGTTTAATTTATATTATCTATCTACTTATATATACAGTAAAGATACTCATTTGATAATTTGCTTGTAAAATGTACACGTGATGTGTATGTACCCTTGAGGAACTTCCTGGCATGTGGGTTTTGGGGGAAGTGGCCTGTGTGACAGGGAATGCTGGTGCCTTGGCCAACTGCTGTGGGGGCCTAGCACAAAGCCAAGAGTCTGAGAAGCTGGCCAGTACATCGCCCCGAGATTCTTGCTAGTGTCACCTCCAGAGCTCTATATGCAGTGTCCAAATGGTAGGGTCTATTGAGAGGGTCCTCTTGGTTATGTATTGAACTTTAATCTACAACCCAGAGCAAAGCAGAAAAAATAAGTCACATGGTGACAAGTTCATACATGACAGAGAGTGCCCCGGCCTCGGGTACCAGGTTATGTTTTAGATGGAAGTTACAATGACATGAGTCCCAGCATGTTTTTCACAGATGTCACCACCACAAATGGCAAGATGGCCCAGATAAGTCTAGCAGACTGGACAGACTCTGCTTCCTCTTGCGCTCTTAGATGGAAGTGAGAAAGCGTGGTTTGAACTGGGAAGAATAAGAAAATCAAAGGTGACACTGAAGGAGGCCATCACTGAGTAGGGACTCAGGGCTTCGAGTGCAAGCCCTGAATGCAGTGTGCCCGGTGTCAGAAGCACACTGACAGTGGCAGTAGGGGCTATGAGATGCCAGCAGCCAGGTCTGTGGCTCATCTTAGGATGCACTGCTAAAGGGTTAAATATAGGTGCTGTCAAGAAAAAGCCTGTATCAATAAGGTGACGAGTATTTTCCCTTTTTTCTGTATGCCCTTGGACGGACTTAATGTTTCTTGTTGCCTATTGTACCTGTTTTGTTTTTTTACATGAGATTATATATCCAATTCTAACAGGTGAAGCCAGATTACTTTTTTTTTTGAGACAAGGTCTTGCTATGTAGTTCAGACTGGCCTTGACCTTATGGTGATCTTCCTGCCTCAGCCAGATGACATTCTGATAAAGAAAATTTGAATTGGTGATACATAAACTTTGCATGTTTTGGTTGTTTTCATTTTTGACTGTAGAGAACCTTTTCTATTTTGGGAGGAGGAAAATCATTTTCAAGGCTTGGGTTCCTGAAAAAGAATGCCCTAGCTTGATAGCTCACCAGCACCTTGAGATTTAGTAGGCTTTGAGCTTTCTCGACAGTGACAGGCAGCTGTTTAGGTGGACCAAAGCCCCACGCCTTGCTCTCTGGGAGGAAGGAGAGTTGGGCAGAGGTGCTGGGTTGTTCCTTTTGGGCTTCCACCTGCTCCGTACCTTACTCCCACAGGGGAGCTCCAGTGTGCTCTCCAGGCTGCAATGTGGTTCCTGGGGGCTTTATCCTTTATCTTGCTCAGTCCTGTGCTTCTTCCCCTTGTTTCTAGGACATCTGTCCCAAAGCTGCCTTCCATGGAGAATGGGAGGCAGCCTTTCTGGCTGGGTGCTGATGTTTCTGTGCACATCCTCTCCCTCTGCTGCCTACTTACATACTGTTCCTGTGTTGGACCCTGCTACTTTTGTCTTCCTAGTCTGTGTGGACTAAAATCCTCAGGTTGAAGCAGCTCTTGTCAGTTCAAACATCACAGTCAAAGGGGATAAAGGCACTTTACAGGAGAGAGGAGAACCCAAGAAGAACTTTACTTTAAAAGTTGCAGCTTAGGCTTTACCTACCAACCCCTTTCCCTCACTTTCTTTGCTGTTTACCCTGGGAAGTTTATTGGGTTTAAACTTAAATTTTTCATGCATCACATCATTTATAAGGCTGTTGCATGCTGAAGTGGAAAGGCCATGGTGTCGACACATGGGGTCAGCACAGCCAACACATCTTGACCAAAGCCAGCAGCCTGCCTAGGTCAGGACCTGGTTCTCCTGATCCCAGATGTGGAGACACCTCTGCAAGGTCTCTTGAACCCGCTTCTCTTTTCTCTGAGAACAGCCTCTCCCACCCTCCCTTTCAGACCTCAGGGGGCTATCTTCATATGCACGGAGAGCATGGAGTCTCTGAAGGGCTCTGCAATAGAGCCAGCAGGCAGTGGTGGAGCTCAAGCCTTTCTCTTCAAGTCCCCTTCCTAAGCAAAGCTTCAAACCAAGGTATGTACTGTGAGACTTCTTGTGGCCGATAAGCAGATGGGTCACACCGAACCATGAAACCCCAGAGCTGACAAGGCCATGGGGACCTTGTGAATAGAATGACTTTTGTGTCTGAGTGATGAGATGGAAGTGGCATTTGTGGTGCTGCCTGGCTTACTACCCAGCCCAACTTGATGTCCAGATGGAGCTGACAGACCTGATTGAATCCATTTCTGCGGGAGCCTGTGTTCCCAGTGGGCTGCCACCCTGTTTGGAGGAGGGGAGCAGCTAACCGTGCCTTCTGAGCTGACCCTGCATTTGTACTTGGTTAAGTGAAAGGAGCTTATTTGTTTAGAGCATGTGGCTCTAGAAAGGACAGAAAGCCCACTTTTGAGTCTTCTGTCTTGAATTCACTTAGTTTGTAATAGCCAGCCATTCTGTCCTGCCTGCAAACCTGATTTCTTCGAAAAGGACTTAGTTCTTCATTAGACTGGAACAATAACAGAAGAGTTTTTAGTTCAGGGTCTGCCCTTAAGTCTGGGGCAAGGACAGGAACCTACAGGCTGGGGATGAGACTAAGCTGACCCTGACTGTCACATGGACAAGGGCAGGGGGCAAATGCCTGCTTCCTTGGTTTTAAAAAATTATCTTTTGGTACACAGGACTTCAAGGAGTTAGAGAATGCATTAACTTTTGTCTCTGTCCTCCTTTGCCTGAGACTGGTCCTTGATGCTCCCCGGAGCCAAGGAAGGTGCAGAGAACCACCATTCTGGCTGGCATCTTTCTGCTGTCCATTGGGGTGGGCAGGGAGGTGGCAAACCAGGACATCTGCAGGTCCTGTGTGCATACCTATTTGTGCCTGTCTGTGGGGGGGTGTACGCATGTCTCGTACACACAGATGGGCAGCTGTGTTAATTGCGTCTTTTGGTTAATGCTTTTTAACTTATGTTCCCTTCCACGATAAATGGGGTGATTCAGAATTAGTGACCTAGAGTCTAAGATAAAGTATCCAAGATAAAGGTTGCTCAGTCACTAAGTATAGAAGACTCCATGTGCTCAGTCCTTCCCAAGTGTCAACCCCAGAACAGAAATACTGTGAAGAGGGTAAGAATCAATCAACATGGTACCTGTGATCCCATAATTTGTATTTAACACATTTCCACCAGCTTGAACCACTGGAGGTTCATGCGTGGTTGTCCCACTAGGTGTCTTATACTACCCAATGAGACTGCCGTGCCATCCAATGAGAGTCATGCTCATATCACCAGTGGTTCAGAGCTGCCCATCAGCAAGACATGAATTATGGCCTTGTTGTGAATGTGTTAGAAATCTTGCCACTTGTCCATGATTCCTGCCCGTACAACTCTCATTCTTGCAGTCTGCTTGATTGGAACCCATGTGAGATTGTTGGCTACAGCAGAGCAGTAGCTCCCCTCCTCAGTGGGTTACCAGCCTGACAAGTCAGATCTTGTGAATTTGGAAAAGGGCCAGGAAGCAGCGATCACCCGTGTAAGCGCCAAATTATGTTTGAGAAGCTGCTATGTTCAGCAGTGTCAGACGGGCCAGACTAGCCATAATTATTAAAAAGAAAAACATGCCAACTTTCCTCTCCCTTGCTGACCATTGTGCATTGAGTTTTACTGACATACCTTTTGGGGGTAAGTTAGGGAGGTTGCCAAAGGCCTGCAGATTACTTTCTGACAAAGTCCCAATTCCTAGTCCATAAGCACCAGTCTGTTCTGATCTTTAATGCAAACCCCTTTGTTTCCTGTGGGCCAGACTGCTAAGAATTGAAAGGGGTGAAATGGTGTGAGCAGTCTGCTTCTGGTGCACTTCCTGTCTGAGGACAGATGAAGAAGTGACCATCTTGGTGCTAAGTGAAGGCCAACTGTCCTATAAGAGGCAAACTGAAACTTTAGCCAAACTGTGTAAGAGGATCCCACCTCCTATCGTGACCAAGTGTGAGACCAAACTCAGAAAATGGTATATGCTTGTCATTTAGGCCAGGTGGAATAAGAATTCTTTGCCCAGAGTGAATGTTTAACAGAAAGATGGAGCTTTCCTTTGGTATGGACTGTGGTTATGCTGAGGTGGGAGTTGGAGACGAGAGCTGTAAGCGTTGGCCTCTTTGGGTCAAGTCTCCAGGCCTCACAAGGTCCCCTGTGGGGATGCTGCTATTTCTAAGATGCAAATTGCACACTTCCTAGATTTTGTATCTGTGGATTTGAATAAGGGAGGGAAAAAGGGACAAGTGCTTGTACAGTCTGAAATGGACCTCAATGGTACTTCAAATCTTTTGATTGTTCCTAAATAAAAATGTACATACATTTCACTTCTGCACTCATTTTCTAGGGGGTCTCAGACAAAAGGTTAAAAAATGTTTCTTGGGGATCTGTTGATCTATCCTGTGGGCAAAATGCCCATAAATTCTGACGGCCAAGTGAGGGAATCTCCTTCCACTCACTGTTTCCAGATTGCTGAGCTCACTGGAGTAGCTTCTGTGACAAAGCAGTACAATAATTTGGAAACTGTACGGGAGAGACAAAGGCAAACTGTCAGACCTGGAGCTCAGGCATCCAGTGAGAGGATACTGGCAAGGTTTTTTTCTTTTTCTATTCCTGTGAGATGAGTTGGCAGCAGACTTGTCATTTGTTAAGAAGGGGTTGGCACAAGGACCAGGGGCCTTCTGGACAACCACAGCTAATACCACAACTTCTAAGAGTCAAAGCAACTGGATTGTTAAGGTGGCCTTAAGAACCTGTGGTACAAGAAAGGGATCCCTGAAATAAAACGACCTGGGGTAGACACACATCCAGTTAATGGTTCTGATAGCATCTACATACCAGGCAGGGCCTGTTCTTGTCAGGGCTTTTCCAGAGGCCAGCTCAGGACCTGGGAAGCAGTTATTGATGCCAAAGAGCTGGTCCTTGGGAGTTAGACCAAACTGGTGTGAAACAATGGAGCTTACCCGCTGAGCCCCATGGTGTGCAAACTCAGACACTACCTCACTTTGGACGTACTTGGGTGGCATCAGCAGTAGTGCCAATGGGGTGTGAGTGTGTGTGTAACTTCCAGGTGGAAAACTGAATGCTTACATTTGACTCCCTGGGCATAAGTAGCCTGGGGATTATCAAGAGATGACCTAGGGAGAAGAGAAATGTCAGTAAGACAGTGCCTGGTTCGTTTAAGATGTGTAGGTATGACCTTGTTTTGTTCAGAGCTAGTTTGCTGGGACAACCTGGTACCGTTTTGTTCCCTTCAACAGCACCAATATGATGAGATGGGCAAGCTGAAAGACAAGTGAGTTTCTAGCCCCAGGCCCAGCTGTCACGTAAAGTTTAAGATGTGCCTAGTCAGGAGGCCCTTCCCTTTTTTGCTGTGGCCAGGTATTTGTTGAGTTTCCTTAACTGAGGCCATAGACTGCTCTTGCATTCTTCTCACAGGGCACCTTTCATTCCAGCCCTGGGGCAGTAGGCATAATGTACCTGATCTTGTAGGCACTTGCCTTCTGTGTACAGTCCACTGGGTGACGGCTGGTGAAAGTTAAGTTCTGCCATTTTGACTCATCTACTTGTCCCTAGTCTGCCAGTCACCTAGGAGCAAGTATACTTCTCTTTGCCTAGGCTTTCAGTATCACTGACTTCAACCCCACTTTTGGTTTCCTCCATCAAAGTCTGAGCCCACTTTCTCAGTAACAGGGAGCCTGTGAATAAGACTCATGCAAGAGCCCCGGGTAGTGGTATGTTCAGGTGCTCAAAGATGTTACCAGGACTGAGACTTTGTGGCCGTAACTCAGCAGATGGAAGGCAGTGCTACCCAAGTTGTGTGGGGACAGAGCCTGCGTGCACTGGGTGAGGCAACCCACATCCCTCCTGAGTCAGTCAACACTGCTCAGATCTGGAGGAGTGTCATTTGACACTCACCTTTAAATTGGTTCAACTGAAGGAGACACATTTTCCATTAGGCAGAAGGATCATTTTCAGTGAAAGATGAAGGCAATGTGGCAGAGTCCAAGACAGGTGAGCTTTGGGCCTGGGAAAGTACCTAGGAAAGGTACAGCTATACCTCAGGCCATGTTCCACAAGGACACTTATTCCACAAACAGAGGTATGTACTGGTAAAAAACTGGTCAGCACTGGCAAGCCGCAGACATTGTACAGCCACGCAGACAGCCCCTACCTGAAGGGCCAGCACAGACCTCTCCTTTCCCTGATAAGGAATGCTGGGCCACAAGAATCTGCAGCAGGAAAACAGGGATCCCAACACACCAATAAATTCCCACCCACCAACTCATCTGTGGGGAAAGAACACCCTCTTTTCCACAATGGGGTGGTGAAGCTCCAGGAAGAAAAGTCTCAGGTCTGGAAACTACTGCTCTTTGACACGGGCCAGTCCAACTAGTTCAGCACATGGCACACACTGTTTTATATTCGGTGAATCATTTCTGCTCTACACTAGCAGAGACTGAAAAAAACACCCTTAGGAAGGGTCTAACTGTTCTCAAGGCCTAAGAGT